TCGAACGAACGTTCGTCGGCCCCGGCCGCCCCCCCCCCCCCCCCGTCGCGCGCGCGCAGTCGCCCTTCGCTTCGCTCCATCCTCCGCTGCCACGCGGGGGGTGCGGGGGACACGGGGAACTGCGTGGCGGGGGGCGGAAGAAGACGTACTTGCCTCCCACATCGCCACGCCCTGCCGAGAGAAAAAAGGCCCGCGTCGCTCTGCACGGTGACTTTTGCCTCCCTCCGCTGCGCATGCCGCTTTTCTCCTCCTCCGCTCTGCACCAGCCAGGCATCTGTGGTTGCGCCAATTATTACTGCGGTTCTACCGCCTCCCGCGCCGTTGAGGGAAAAGTAAGCGGCATCAAAGAACCGGACGAAGCGTAATAGTAATAAGCCGAAAGAAGAAGAATTTGTTTTTTGTTTTTTGTTTTTTTTGTTTTTGTTAGTAGAGGATAAGTCTTCAGTACCACCGCTGCGCGACTAAGTGCAAGCGTCAACACACATACATATATATATACACACCTGCACTCACACACACACACACACACTTGCATATACCAGCCAGCAGGAGCAGAGAAGAAAAGGAGGGGGCCGAAGCGCGGGTGTGGAAGGGACGTTGTGTTTTCGCCTCGGCTTTTTACCTTCTGCTTCTCGCCCTCTGTGTGTGAGCGAGAGGGAGAGAGAGAGAGGGAGGGTGGGGGGAGGAAGCGCGAAAGGGGCAAAGGCTACGAGGGGTACGCCGCTGCGTGCTCCTCCGTGGCTTGTCTTTCCTCCACTTCCTCTCCTGCTACTTTGCCTCCCCCGAAACCGGCCCGTCGGCGCCTGCGCGTGCCGACCGCGCCCCCGCCTCCGCTCAGCGGGTTGCGTGGCGAGGCGGAGTTGCTTCCCGCGCGGAAACCCCCCACCCCCCTCATGGAAGAGCGGCGGCACCCGCAGCGCGACAGGCAGGCGTCCGGCGATGGCGAGGCATCCTTTCGACTCCCTCTGAATTATCTCCCTCGCCGCTACGACCTCCGTCTTGCCCCGCGCCCGGCGGCGGGCAGCTTCGTCGGCGGCGCCTCCGTGACGGTGGAGGTGGCGACGCCGCTCCCCGCCCCGACGCGGAGCCTGACGATGCACGCCCTCGAGTTGGCCATCGAGCCTGCGGACGTGTCGGTGAGGCCGCCGCCGCACCGCCGCGCAGAGGCGGCGGAGGAGACGCCAGAGGCAGACACGGCGCGGCTGCAGTGCGTCGCGGTCCGCAGTTCCCCCGCGGCGGAGACCATCACGCTAGACTTTGCCGCGTGTCTGCCAAATGTCGCGGGCGACACGTTTGTTGTGGACATTGCGCGCTTTACGGGCCACATCTACGACTCCGTCGCCTCCTGCGGCCTCTTTTACTCGAACAGCCACGACACGAACTTTCTCTCCACCCACCTCGAGCCGACCAACGCGCGGCTGCTCTTCCCCTGCTTTGACGAGCCCGCCTACCGCGCCGTCTTTCAGCTCACGGTGGAGTTCGACAGCCGCTACACGGTCGTCGCCGGGACGCGGGCGGTGCGGGAGGAACTCGTGGCGGTCGACGAGGACGTGTTTGGCGCGAGATTTTGCGACCCGCCGCCCTCCCCCGCCCGCGACGCCAGCAAAAGCGCCAGCTTCACGGGCGGTGGCTACAGCGTGAGGGGCGATAGCTTGGGCGCGGCCCCGGCGAACGCGCGCGACGGTGACGAATTGGGCGCGACGGAACGCATGGCTGGCAGTGGCGCCAGCGCCAGCTTGAGCACCGCGCCCCCGCTGCGGGGGGTGCGAGGCCGCGCTGCTTCCGCTGCCGCCGCTGAGGACGACGTGCCGACCGCCGCCGGCCCGCAAGAGGGACGCAGTTGCCCTCACTGGCGGCGTCGAAATTGTGATCCGCTGGAGGACGCCGCCAGCGACTCCCCGACCTGCTTAGTACGCCGCGTCTTCTTTGCCGACACGCCGCTGCTCTGCACCTGCGCTGTCGGCTTTAACATCGGCAGGTTTTATATAAGAGAGGAGACGACTCCGGACAGGCTGCTCTGCCGCGTTATAATTCCTGCGGAGGTGCAGGTGAACTATGGCTGGTACGCGCTCGACCTGCTTACCAAAGCGGTGGCCTTCTTCGACGACTACTTTGCCTTTCGTTTGCCACTGCAGAAGCTTGACCTTGTCTGCCTGCGCTGCTGCGGGTTTCTGGCGATGGAGAACTGGGGGATGATTAGCATGCACCTTGACTACATGCTCGTGAACGAGTCCACCCCACTGGAGCGGCGACAGCGCATTGCGCGGCTTATTGGACACATGGTTGCCCGCCAATGGGTGGGTAACTCGGCGGCCATTGCGTGGTGGAGCTCCCTCTGGATTCGCGAGGGGGTTTGCGGCTACCTCTCGTTCACGTTCGTCGACAGCGTGTACCCAAACTGGCTCATGTGGGAAGCCTTCCTCACGCAGGTGCTTGACGACGCGCTTGTGCTCGACTCTCAGCCGGAGAAGACCCACCCGCTGCAGTGCTGCAACGCCACCCAAGGCACATGGAGGACTACTTCGACACCATCAGCTTTGGCAAAGGGGCGTCGATCATTCGTCTGCTCTCCTTCGTGATGGGGACCGAGAGTCTACAGGCGGTCATGCGGCATCTGCTGCAAACGCGCCGCGACACTTGCTTTGACAACAACATCTTCCTCGAGTCGCTGGCGCAGGGCGCGACCGTGAGGGCGTGGGGGGAGGTTGCCGCGGCGCTGGTGCGCTGCACGGCTGAGCCTGGCCACCCGCTGCTTTACGTTGAGCAGGACAATGACGCCGAATGCCGCGTCACGCAGTACCAAATGCCGGATCTACGACAGGGTATCCTGCCGGCGTACGTGAAATTCATGCAGGGGGCGGTCGCGGTGGGCGACGTGGACTTAACGGCCCCGCGGCGCCGGCGCGTGTTTACGTGGGACGCAGAAAAGTTGCTGCAGCGGGCCAACTATGTGGTGCGCGTGAGCCTCGTGGAGCCGCGGGGTGGAACTTACATCCTGCGCGAGGGGACGTTATGCATGCGCAGCCAGCGGGACACCCTCTTCGGCTCCCGGGGCACGGTGACGTACCTGAACTACCACGGCGCCGGCTTGCTGCGGTGCGACTACGACACCGCCACGTGGCTGAACATCTTTGGTGTCGCCTACCGCCTTTCCTCGGAGGACCGCATCGTGATCACCATGACGCTCTTCCGCTTCCGCAACATTCATATTGGGCAGGACTGCACCCATCGCATGGACCGCTGTCTGCTGCTGCTGGAGTGGCTGTTTGGCCTCGCGCAGGGCGCCTCCACCACCGCCCCGCACTGGAGCTACATCACTCACCACATTGAGTACATTGTTTACATGGTGCGAGACTGCCCCTGCTGGGAGTTGTTCTGCAAGTTTGTCTGCGCTCTCTACACCCCCCTCCTGCGCCGCGGCTCCATCTCGTTTGCGGCGCAGGAGCAAGCCGCGACAGAGTCACGGCAGGATATCTCGCGGACGACGGTGCTGCGCATCCTGCAGGTTCTCGCCATTTGCCGCTCCCCCGCGCTCCCCGGCGAGGCCAGGCAACAGGTGGAACGGGCGCTTCTCTCGGTCATCCCGCGGTTTGCCTACGGCGACGACGGCGGGAGCCCCACCGCGTACTACACCGTCGCCTTCGATGTCTCCAACGACTCGGATGCGGCGGCTGTGAGCATTGCCATGCAGTGCCTCGTAGAACGCGCGGATATGAAGACGTGGTGGACGCTTGCCTGCATTGCGGCCGCCATCCTCGGTATTTCGCTAGCCGACACCGCGGAGGAGCTGCAGCGCGCCGCGGTGGCGGGAATTCATCTGGAGCACCTTGACGAGATGGAGAAGAATCGCTGGGTGAACATGATCGCCCCCGCCCTCTTTGCGTTTGACTCCTGCAGCACGCTGCCGTTTCTCACGCTGGTGCTGCAGAAGTTTGAAAGCCTGAACACGCCCATAGCAAAGGCGATTCTGCGCAACAAGCGGCTGGTGACGGCCATCTTTGGCGGCACCGCACTGAGGCAGTCGAGGCGACGCATCACCGTCATTCGCGACCTTCTCATCATGCAGGCAGCCACGTTCTGCGGCGACGGCAACCTTCTTTTTCTGATGAGGAACTCCGTGGCGGAGGAGGCGCCGCCAGAGCGGCAGGGCGGCAGCGGCGTGGATGACGCCGCACCCGCGCGCGCAGCCACGACGGAGGGCGGCGGTAGTGGTGGTGGTAGTAGCAGCAGTGGCGTTGGCAACGGCGGAGTCCCCTGCAGAAGTCACCCGGGGCGTGCGGCGTGCGTGGCAAGGTCGTCGTCTATTGCCAACGCCATCGCCGCGGTGGAGACGAACTGCGTCTGGTTGGAGTACTGCTGTGAACACTACGACGCGTTTCTCTCGAAGCGGTTCTCCGCGGAGGAGCCGGCCACGCCGCGGTGGGAGATGCCGGCCGAACAGCCGGTGGAGTCGGACAGCGTGGAGCACGACGGGGTGAGCACGTGACCAGGGCCCGCGCCTCCAGCCTCCCCTCGTTGCAGGGCGCCCGTCGCCCGCCCACCACCTCCTCCTCCTCTTCCTCCTGCGGCGGTTTGCCTCTCTTCTTTTCTCTGCGGCCCCAGCTGCTTTGTTTGCTTGCTTTATGTTTCTGCCTCTTCCTGCGTGTTATGTGTCTGTTTTTTTTTCTCTTGTGTGTGTGTACGTGCGTGCCTTTTTTTCCTTATTTTTGCAAGTTTTTTTTCTTCTTTTTTTTGTGTGTTTCCCACCACCGGCAGACTTAAAAAAAAAAAAACGAACGACAAACGGGGCCCAAAATTTCTCTCGTCTCTGCCGTCCGTCCCTCTCCGCCTGCAGGTGGCGGGGGATGGGCGGGGGCTGCGCAGAGGACGACGCACACGTGGGCGCAGCCTCGGCTTAGGCGTGGGGCGCGACGCAACGCTGATTGCGTGGGCGCTACTCATCTGCCTGCCGCCTCTCCCTTCCTTTTCTCTTTCCGCCGCTGCCGCTGCCGCCGCCACTACCCAGGCGCTTGCCCCTCAACCTTCCATCTATCTCCCCTTCTTTCCTTCTTTCTCTCTCTGTCTCACACACACTCGCTGACACGCCGCACGTGCGCCCATCGGACGGCAGCCTCAGCGCCCACGCACCCAAACAATCAACAGCAACGAAGGAAGTGAACCAGCAAAAACAAAAACAAAAACGAGCACATACACAAATGCAAGAGAAGGAAGGGATAATGGAAGAGCAACAAACCTACAAGGAAAATAATTATTCGGCTCTGCGGCTCATTGCTCGCAGGGGGGGCCCAACGAGAATCGGGAATGCGTTGAAATTGCGGGAGGAAATGAGGCGGGCCGAGGCAGCGTTGATGCACAACGTGATCGCAAGGAAGTCGGTGACGGTTTCCGACGACGTCGTCGCCAGTGTCGTGGAGAACTGCAAGAAAATGAAATACGGCGAGCAAGCACGAAGCCACGCCCGCGGCCCGCTGCCGCTGCGGCAAACGCAGCTGCTTGGGCTTCTGCTGCTCGTCTCCGCGGCGCTGCCCTCCATTTCGCCCACGCTTGAGGAGCTGGCGCTGATGTCCGCCTCTTCCCCCGCCACGTACCCGTTGGGCGCCGACGTGTTTCGCGCGAGCCCCAAATTTGACTCCGGGGACGACTGGGACGCCGTGGGCGAAGTCGAGACGGAGGCGCGAGGGGAGCGCGTGTTTGACTACGCGGGGGCCTGGGCCTCCAAGCTCTGGGCGACGGACGTGGCGGAGGCGGACGCGCAGCTCCGCCGCGACCCCGACGAGGAGGAGGAGGACGAGGAGGAGGACGAGGAGGAGGACGACGCCGGCTGCAAGAAGGCGCGGGAGGGCCACCGCAGGTGCGCCGAGGCCGCGGCGGCTGTGACCGGCGGTGCGGCACAGGCGGGGGCTGCCACGCCCGGCAGGCGGCGGGGGGTGCTCGCGGTGAGTGAGAGCCATCCACTGATGCGCATCGACACCGACCGCCGCAGCATCGGCAGCGGCAGCAGCATCGGCGGCAGCGGGTCCTCCACGCACCTTGTAAGCGGCAGCGCCTGCACCTCCTTCGCCTCCACCCCACGCAGAGTGCTGGAGCCGCCAATGGAGCTCCTGCGCCATCGCCGCCTCGATGCCGCGGGCGCCTTTGACGACCACGAGGAGGAGGAGGGGCGCGGGGGCCGTTTTGAGTCGCTGCCGGACTCCGCGCTACTGTGCGTGCTGCCGTTCCTGGCCTTCCCCGAGGTCGTCACGCTGCTCAGCACGAACAAGCGCCTCAGCAGCCTTGTGCGCAGGAGGTTTGGCGTGAACGAGCAGGGGGTGTTCCACATTCCCGCCTTCACCGGACGTCCGTCCCTCTTGGACCGCTACGGCGGCCAATTCAATGGCGGCAAAAACCACGGCGAGGGCAACAAGCCAGGCGTCGCCGGGGCACCGAAGAAAACCATCCGCCTCTTCTTTGGGCAGCAGCGGCGTGACAATCACCCCTCCTCGCTGCGGCACTTGCTGAATTTTCTCGTCCCAGACATGTCGATCCCGCACATGGAGGCGCACACGAATGCGTTGAACGGCCGCGGGAAGGGCTGCACGTGGGTCTTCGTCACCTCGCAGGACGACGTCAAGCGGCTGATGCAGTTTAACAAGCTCGTCTTCCTCGACGTGAACGCCGAGGGGAGGGAGGTGTACATGGTGGCCCCGCCGCGCAGCAGGGCGTGGATACAGGACTACGCGGAGAGCGTTGGCGGCTGGGGCACGCGCCCCGCGTACCTGCCGCGCCAGCCAATGGTGATTGAGGCGCCGGAGAAGCCGTCGATGAAGCGCAAGCGGATGAAGTCGCAGCTGCTGAATCACAAGGGCGCGCCAATCCAGCAGGAGGAGGGGGCGGAGGGGCGCGTCCAGGGGCCGGAGTGCGCGCACGAGCAGCGGGAAGCAGCGCCACCTCCCCCGGAGGATTTGCCCCAGGCAGAGAAGGAGGAGCAGCCGACGGCGACGCCGCCTGCCGGAGCGGCGGGGGCGAGCGTGAACCCACCCGCCCCGTTGTGCGCGGAGAGCCATGAAGCGGAACACGCCGTCAATGAAACCCTCCGCTCTGCCGCCGCGCTGCAGCCGCGGGGAGGC